AACCACTTTTTTAGATTTTTATTGTACAGGTTGGACTTCCCTGGTCCAGCAGCCTCGGGACCTGATGGGTCCCAGACCAAGGGAGGTCAATGCTAGCCACTCTGTTGTGTGCCTCCAGGCTCTGCTCTCAGCCACCAGCCCCTAGACCCCTGCCCCAGGCTTCAGGTACCCACCCCAGCTGCTGAACTCAAGCCCCAACCCTGGCCAGTGGCGGCCGGCTCTCTGCCAGGCTCTCCCCCCAGCTACCAGCCCTGACCTCCCAGCCACCAACTCCCTGCCCCAGGCTGGACTCTGCTGCCCTTTGCTGCTGGCGATGGTGGGGCTCCCTGGCCACCAGCTCTCTGCCACTGGCTTTGGCCCTAGCCAGGCTCCAGCTCCCAACCCCAGCCCTGGGCACCCCTCCCAGCTGCTTCCCGGCTCTGGTCTGGCAACATCTGTTCCCCACAGATGTTACTGGAGTAGAGAATCCTGGACTAAAGAGGTCCGATCTTTAGTCATTCATTTGTTTTGTATGCTGTAGTTTTTGAGATCTGTGGGATGTAGATTTATGGATCCAAACTTTTAAGGGGGCTTCAATCCTGTTTCCATTTGTTCGTCACTGCAGCTGTGTGTGCATGAATCAGTAATACACTGGGGTTACAATAGAGTTTGAAAAACTGTCCCGTCCCCTCCCGCAGTCCTACCTCTATATCAGAGGCAGCAGTGTGGGTGGGGAGGGGGTAGGCAGGAGCCAGCTCATGCAGGGATCCGGCTTAAAAACATACACTGGCTCCTAGGGAGCCGTCTGCCCCCCATTTGTACACAGGCACAGTTTGCAAAACTACCCTATCCTGGGAGACCATCTTGGTTACAATAATCTTGCAGCTCACTAGCCTAGTTTGCCCATTGCTGGACTAAATGATTACAGTTGTCCTCTCTGGCCTTGGAATCTATGAATCTTATGAAAATTAAGCCCCTAATTTTCAAAAGTCACTTTCTAACATTAAGGGTATGTCTGCATTGCAATAAAAATGCATGGCACTGAGTCTCAGAGACTTGGTCAGCTGGCTCAGGCTATGGGGCAAAAAACAGGAGTGTAGACTTTTTGAATTGGAATAAAATACAACATGGTTTTACAAAGGGTAGCTCATGCAAGACCAATGCAATGACTCCTTCTTTGAGAAGAAAACAGATTTTTTTTTTTTTTTTTTGACAAAGGAAATGCAGTAGATCGGATCTACTTGCATTTCACTAAGGCATTTGATATAGTTCCACATGGGAGTTACTAGCTAAATTTGGAGAAGATCGGGATTACTATGAGAATTGAAAGGTGGATGAAGACCTGGTTGAAGGGGAGACTACAGTGGGTCTTGCTGAAAGGTGAACTCTCAGGCTGGAGGGAGGATGCTAGTGGAGTTCCTGAGCTATTGGTTTGGGGAGCAATCTTATTTAACATTTTTATTAATGAGCTTGGCACAGAACATGGGAGTGTGCTGATGACAATTTATGGATGACATTGAAACAGTGAGTTGCCCTGCACTGGCCCTTTAAGGGGCTGAGAGTGGAGTCAGCGGCAAGCCCAGCCGAGGCAGCTAATGAGGGCCTCGGTGGAGGCTATAAAGAGTGACTCCTGGAAGGAGGGAGACCTGCCTGCTACTCTGGAGGGAGGGCAGTAGAGGCCTGACTGCCAGGGAAGCAAGAGGCTCCCTGAAAGAGGACAGGGCTGGGGAGGCTTTGGCCTAGCAAACCCAGGCTACCAGGCCTGAGGCCCTAGGGCCTGCGAGAAGCAGCCATGGTGGGCGGGGCTGAGAGAGGCAGACGCAGGAGACTGGGGAGGCTTGGGCCTGAAGGCAGGGTTGCAAGAGGCAACCTGGTAGCTAGAGGTAGCAGGTCCACGCCCTTTGTCAGGGAGAAGTGGCCAGAAGGGACTGCTGTCTGCCCAGAGACAGGGGGTCACTGAGGCCTGGAGGGTGCAAGGGAACTGGGTGTTCCCTGGCAGAAGAAATGGGGGTCCCAGGGAGTAGGGAGGACCCTGGAGAGTGTAGTGGAGGAAGAACAATGACACCACCCTCCCCGGACGGGGGCACTGACAAAGACCAGAGTGGGCACTGCCGGAGGGCAGTGCCCTGAAGACAATGCCATACCGATGGAGGACATGGCAGGGAGACGCCAGCGGAAGGGGGCACGTTGGAGCAGCCAGCTAATTCCCCAAAGTCTTGCTGAAGGCGCCATGCTGGTGAGTCGACCCCATTATAGACACAAAGTTGGGAGGTGTTGCCAATATGGAAGAGAGCTGGAATGTGGTACAAGAAGATTTGGATGACCGTGAGTACTGAGAAGAAGAGAAAGAACTGGGTGTATTGGTTGATCACAGGATGACTGAGCCACAGATATGAAAAAAATTAATGCATTCCTAAGATGCATCAGGCGAGGTATTTCTAGTAGAGACAGAGAAATGTTAATAGCATTATACAAAGCAGTTGTGAGACCTTATATGGAATATTCTGTACAATTCTGGTCTCCCATGTGTAAGAAAGATAAATTTGAACTGGAACAATTGCAGAGAAGGGCTACTAAGATGACCCAAGGAATGTAAAACCGACCTAATGAGAGGAGACTCAGAGCTTGGCTTATTTAGCTGAACCAAAAGAAGGCTGAGGGGAGATATGATTGCTCTGTGTAAATACACCAGATGGATAAATACCAGGGAGGGAGAGAAGTTATGTAAGTTAAGCATCAGAGTAGACACAAGAACAAATGGATATAAATTGTGCATCAGCAAGTTTAAGCATAAAATTAGATGAGGGTTTCTAACCATCAAAAGTGTGAAGTTCGGGAACAGCCATCCACGGGGACCTGTGGTGGCAAAAAATCTAGACTGATCTTGATAAGTTTATGGAGGGAATGGTATGACCAGGCTTCCTACAGTGACATGCCTGTTCCTTTATTTGGAACCCTATGATATACTTTGGAGCCTTTTACCTTTTTGCCATCTTGTTTATTTTTTTAATCTTCTGTTCAACAGAATTAACATGAACAGAAACTTGTGATCTGACTTTTATCAGCTGCACGTCCTTATTCACTTTATACCCTTACTGAGTTCATCCCGGATTACATGCACAACTCCTACAGTTCTCAGCTTTGCGTGAATGTCAGGCAACTCTCATTCTCTACTAGGGATGTAAACGAGTGGTCAAGTATACGATTAACCAGTACGCCTAGGCATTTCCTGTGTCAGAGGCAGGCAGCTAGTCCATAAGGGGAGCTGGTTTTTAAATTGGTCCCCCTCGCAGACCGGTTCCCGCCTGACACCGCACACTGCTGCCTCTGATATAGAGGCAGCAGTGCAGGGTGGCAGGGGGCTCCCCACGAGTGTGGCTGGAGTGCACTGTCTGCTGGCCCCGCCTCTGGGGACAGTAGAATAGCTGAGTAACTGATAAGAATACATGTGGTTACTCGACTGTTCTATTACCCACTACAGTGAAACTTTTGTTATCCGGTATTCTGTTAATCAGAAAACTTGAACTGGCATTGCTCCCAGCCACAATACTGTCACATCTTCAGGCGCACAGGCTGGGCTTGGTTTACCATGATTGGCTTAACAATTTTTTCTTTAAGAAGTACTAATCATCTTTAACTCAAAAGAGAAATGAGAGACCAGCTGCCTCACACTACAAAACCACCAATGTTAAAAACTTGAGTTTTACTATTATTGTCCATTGGTTTTTCCTAGGTTGATGGTATCCTCAGATAACTGGAATTTTTAGATAACTGGGACACCCTAATCCCCGAGCGTGCCGGATAACACAGGTTTTACTGTGTCTAACATCCCTGTTCTTCACTGGGGGAGTTCATATTAAGCCACTGGCC